GTCATGGGATAAGAGGGAAGGTCCTTTCTTGGATTGAGAACTGGTTAAAAGACAGGAAAGAAAGTGTAGGAATAAATGGTAAATTTTCAGAACGGAGAGAGGTAACTAGTGGTGTCCCCCAAGGGTCAGTCCTGGGACCAATCCTTTTCAACTTATTCATAAATGATCTGAAGAAAGGGGTAAGCAGTGAGGTAGGAAAGTTTGCAGATGATACCAAACTGTTTAGGATACTCAAGACAGAAGCAGACTGGGAGCCAAACTGAGTGATTGGGCAACAAAATGGCAAATGCAATTTAATGTGGATAAGTGTAAAGTAATGCACATCGGGAAAAATAACCCCAACTATACGTACAGTATGATGGGGGCTAATTTGGCTATGACAAATCAGGAAAGAGATCTTGGAGTTATCATGGACAGTTCTCTGAAAACTTCCACGCAGTGTGCAGCGGCAGTCAAAAAGGCAAATAGGATGCTAGGAATTATTAGGAAAGAGATAAAAAATAAGACACAGAATATCTAACTGCCCCTGTATAAAACTATGATACGCCCACATCTTGAATACTGTGTACAGATGTGGTCTCCTCACCTCAAAAAAGGTATTTTGGCCTTGGAAAGGGTTCAGAAAAGGGCAAGTAAAATGATTAGAGGTTTGGAACGGGTCCCATATGAGGAGAGGTTAAAGCCACTGGGACTTTTCAGTTTAGAAAAGAGATTGAGAGGGGATATGATAGAGGTCTATAAAATCATGAGTGGTGTGGAGAGGGCCGATAAAGAAAAGTTATTTATTAGTTCCCATAACAGAAGAACTAGAGGACACCAAATGAAATTAATGGATAGCAGGTTTAAAACTAATAAAAGCAAGTTCTTCTTCACACAGCGTGTAGTCAACCTGTGGAACTCCTTGCCAGAGGAGGCTGTGAAGGCTAGGACTATAACAGAGTTTAAAGAGAAGCTAGATAATTTCATGGAGGCTGGGTCCATAAAAGGCTATTAGCCAGGGGATAGAAATGGTGTCCCTGGCCTCTGTTTGCCAGAGGCTGGAGAGGGGTGGCAGGAGACAAGTCGCTTGATCATTGTCTTCGGTCCACCTTCTCTGGGGCACCTGTTGCTGGCCACTGTCGGCAGACAGGCTACTGGGCTAGATGGACCTTTGGTCTGACCCAGTATGGCCGTTCTTATGCTTTGGACTTCAACTGGACCAGAATTTCACCTTTGTCTCAGCACTTTAAAAAAAATAAAAATAAAAAAAAATAATAAAAAAAAGCTAACCAGATTTCGAGTTAATGCAAATATAGACCTTTGGATGTGAACTGGCCAACATAGTCTGACATAAAAAACAATGCACTCAAACAACCCTTAGGATAACTTTTAAAAAAGACTGTAAAACATCTTCACACTCACACTGTACTTCTATAGTTGAAAAGACAAGGACCATTGGTCAAAAAGCAAGTAGATCAAGTCTATAGTCTACATATGAGACAAGCATTTTTGTCAAAACGGTGTGATTCTTATATTAAAACATAGCAAAGGAAATGGTCACTGAATTACCTGATCTTCTATGGGCATAACCAGAATGCCTCCAACTTTCAATAAAATTTTCATGTAGTTCTCATGATCTTTCTGGACCCCAGCTCCACAATAGATCCTGTCATACTGATGACTGTCCGATGCAATCTCCAGACAATTACCAACCACAAATGCAGGTTCACAGAATTCAAATCTGAGGGGAGAGGAAGAAGGAAAGAAAGGGTAAATATTTCAGAATAGAGGTCTGTTTTTAGACATAAATTTAGCTAAATATAATAAAACTGCAATTTCACACTTTTGCTCATTTGTAATTAACATATTTATAAGAGCACCAGCACGCTTAATTGTATTAGATAAAGAAACAGAAGACATGACTGAAATATATCAATGTTTGTCTGTGCATATCAATTTACATCAGTGGTGGGCAATCAGGGTTCTATGTTTGGCCCACAAGACTTTTTGTTTACCATTGCCCAAGCAGAGGGCTTCCAAATTCTGCTGGTTTCTGTCTGCAGTTTTTTTTCCTACCAGTATTATTAAAGTAACACACTCATAAAGAAAGAGCATATGAAGTGACGTGTGTGCTGATTGCACCCAACACTGACTGCTACTTCCACATCCAATCACAGTGCTGTTGTAGTTTAATCGGCACACCCTGCATATCCTACTTAAAAAAGTTCAATTAGCAAAACTATCCAATCCTTGGTTATGACAATCTTGTAGCCCACTGAGATGAAGTAGGGCCACTCATGTGGCCCATTCTCAAGCCTGGTTTGCCCATAGCGGATTTATATTGTCAAAAAAGAATAGTGTATTTTTCTAAATACAGGCAGTCCCCGGATTACATGGATCCGACTTACATCGGATCCTTACTTACAAACGGGGTGAGGCAACCCCGCACTAGCTGCTTCCCCCCAGCAGACCAGGGAGACGCGGAGCAGCTTTTCTCAGCAGACACCTCTGCTTGAGAATAAAGGACTGAGGGAAGTGAGATGTGGGAGAATAAAACTGAGCTCTGGAGAAATGTTTGGCTAGAGTTTCCCCTACAATATGTACCAGTTCCGACTTACATACATATTCAACTTAAGAACAAACCTACAGTCCCTATCTTGTACATAACCTGGGGACTGCCTGTACAATCATAGATGCCTTGTTAAACATTTAATAAAGTAGTAAAAACTGAAACACAAAAAGCCCCTTTAAATTACTGTATTTATTCACATGTTATGCTCTGGATGTTGCACAAAAATTAAAACAATTCAATAAGTCCTTAATTTTAAACTACTCTCCTTTCATCAATCCCTAAATCCAGCTTTCTTCCAAATAAAAAGGAAAAAGAATGTGGGAAAACGTGTTTTCCACTGTGTGCCCTGAAAGTCACCAACTCTGGTTCTCACAGACCAAACAGAAGGAAAAAAGTGATACCTCAAATGACTGCTTCGTGGAGCAGTTGGTTCTGGAACCCACAAGGGGAGAGGCAATTCTTGATTTAGTCCTAGGTGGAGAGCAGGATCTGGTCCAAGAGGTAAATATAACTGGACCGCTTTTAAATAGTCACCATAATGTAATAAAATGTAACATCCCTGCAGTGGAAAAAAACCTTTACAACCCAACACTGTGGCATTTAATTTCAGAAAGGGGAACTACATACAAATGAGGAGGTTAGTTGAACAGGAATTAAAAAGGTTCAGTGAAAAGTAAAATCCCTCCAAACTGCATGGAAACTTTTCAAAGACACCATAAGAGAGGCCCAACTTAAATGTATACCCCAAATTAAAAAACACAGAGGACCAAAAAAGTGCCACCATGGCTTAAAAACCAAGTAAAAGAAGCAGTGAGAGATAAAAAGGCATCATTTAAAAAATAGAAGTTAAATCCTAGTGAGGAAAACAGAAAGGAGCATAAACCCTGTCAAATTAAGTATAAAAATATCATAAGAAAAGCCAAAAAGGAGTTTGAAGAGCAGCTAGAAAAAAACTCAAAAAGTAATAGCACAATGTTTTTAAAGTACATCAGAAGCAGGAATCCTGCTAAACAACCAGAGGGGCCACCAGACGATTGAGATGCAAAACAAGCACTCAAAGACGATAAAGTAATTGTGGAAAAACTAAATGAATTATTTGCTTCGGTCTTCACGGTTGAGAATGTTAAAGAGATTCTCAAACCTGAGCCAGTCTTTTTAGGTGACAAATCTAAGGAATTGTCCCAGATTGAGGTGTCTTTGGGAGGAGGTTTTGGAACAAATTGATAAGCTTAACAGTAACAAGTCACCAGGAGCAGATGGCATTCACCCAAGAGTTCTGAAAAAACTCAAATGTGAAATTGTGGAACTAGCAACTGTGGTTTGTAACCTCTCCTTTAAATCATCTTCTGTACCCAATGACTGGAAGATAAGTAATGTGACTCCAATATTTAAAAAGGGCTCCAGGAGATGATTCTGGCAATTACAGATGGGTAAGTCTAATGTCAGTACTTGGCAAACTAGCTGAAACTATAGCAAAGAATATAATTGTCAGACACATAGATGAACATAATTTGTTGGGGGAAGAGTCAGCACGTTTTCTATAAAGGGAAATCATTCCTTACTAATCTACTAGAGTTTTTTTGAGAGGGGTCAATAGATGTTAGGAGTCATTAAAAAAGGGAGAGAATAAGACAGAGAACATCGTATTGCCTCTATATAAAACCATGGTTTGCCCACATCTTGAATATGGTGTACAGATGTGGATGCCTTATCTCAAAAACAGATATATTGGCATTGGAAAAGGTTCAGAAAAGGGCAACAAAAATGATTAGGGATATGGAACGGGTCCCATGTGAGGAGAGATTAAAAAGACTGGGACTTTTCATCTTAGAAAAGAGGAGACAAAGGGTATGTCTACACAGCAAAGTTATTTCAAAATAACAGTTGTTATTTCAAAATAACTTTCCTAACATCTACTCAGCCAAACTGCTATTTCGAAATAAATTCGAAATAGCAGAGCGCTTATTTCGAATTTGGTAAACCTCATTCCACAAGGAATAATGCCAAATTCAAAATAGCTATTTCGAAATAAGTACTGTGTAGATACTTATTTCGAAATAGGGGGCCTCCAGCCTTCCCAGGGTGCCCTGGTGGCCATTTCAGCCTCAACCAAGAACACTTCTCTCCCGCCCTTCCCCGCCTTCCCAGGGTGCCCTGGTGGCCACTCCAGCCTCAACCAAAAACACTCTACTCCTCCTCCCCTCCCCAGAGCCTTTAAAGGGGTTGACTCTGGCCACAGTGCCTGTGCCAGCTCTAAGCCTGCCAGCCCAGAGCCAGCAGTCACTGCCCCTGACCTAGTGGCCCCAAAATATGAGCCAGCCACTGGAAGCCAGCCCTCCACCACTCCCCAGGAGCAGTCTGCCAGCTCCCAGGAGCCTGCCAGGGCCTGGAGAAGGTGGCACCTTCCTGGTCCAGGGTGGAGATCATGGACTTTATTCAGGTTTGGGGGGGGGATACCACCAACGTCCATGATCTCTACATTAGATGGAGGAACGTAGCCGTCTATGGCAGGATAGCTGCCAGCCTGGCCACCAAAGGCCACATGCGAACCCAGGAGCAGGTTTGCAAGAAAATCAAGTTGGTCCAGCGAGACCCCCAACTCTGAGCTTCCCCTCCCCCTTCTAGCTCCCTTCTTCCACCCTCTCTTCTCTCCTGCCTCCTTTCCCCAGTCTCACCAGTGTTTCATTCCCTCCCTCTAGTTTTGTTAAATAAAGAGAAGGGGTTACAACTAGGGAGTTAAAATGTAAACCAAAACTTTGAAAGAGGTGTTCCTTGTCCTTGGAAAGCAGAGTGGGGGGCATTCTCTAGTGCCAACACATCAACTGCTGCATCACACCTGAAGTTATAAGAAGGGCCAGCCTGCCCTTAGCTACTTTCAAATTGAGTGCCTAAGACACTCAGTGCTTCTCCTGTGCACTTTCAGGAGTTACACATAGCTACATCCTGCATAGCTTTCAAGACCCCCTTTATCAGAGCTTCAGCTCCCATAGGCTCTATAAAAGGCTGTCCTTGGTACATGGATTTCCTTTATCCTCGATCACTGTCTGGTTCCTTCTCAACTGCTCCATCAAAAGGCGCATGCAACACAGCAGTTTATACGGTCTTAATGCTTTGTGCATGCCTTGAGTACTATTCTGCACTGACTGAAGTTTTTAAATGGAGTTCCAGCCTCTCGGCTTTGGAAATCAGAAACAGAACTCTGGGCGACAACTTTGGGACCTGAAGTCCCAAATATGGTTAGAACCACATTGGTAGAACTTCAGAAGGTTCTGACCTTGATAATTAAATTCATGTTTACTAAAGTATGCAGATCTGTACTGACAATAATCAAAGCTTTACAGCACATTGTTACTGAAGGGGCATACAAAATGATGCTAATTCTGGTTTAGATGGATAAATTTAAAGCTATTAACTTTTTAAACAGAAAATATGGGAAAATAAGCAAAGTGAGATGGGAAACACAAAGCTGTTTTGTTCCCTGAATAACCACATCAAATGAAAACCAAACAAACTCACTCATCCATACAGAGGGTACAATCATGGTTGATTTAATCTGGAAGGTCTCTAAATCCAGTTCATCTAAACCTACATCCAGTTGCATTAACAAGTTCACAAACATCTGCAGCCACGTTGTGAACTTGACAGCTGACTGCATCACTGGAAAGAAAATAGCTTAAATTGACTAGCAATAACAGAAGATCCTAAATGAAACACAGACAACATTCAAGACACAGCGAGCTATCCATTTCCTTAAATTAGAATGAGGCTTGGCAGCTTTCACTATTCACAGAGACACTAAGTATGATATGGCTTTCATGTTCATAACATTGCCATTAATAAAACAATTTTCTGGTTTTATAAACTGATAAGCTTTTACTTGAAGAATTTAAATAATTTATTTTGTAAAGATAGATGTTGGTCCTGAAACAGCTCAGTGCTCCCTCTTATTACTAGCTCCATGCATATCTCAAAATACTTTGGCAACTACTACAATGTTCTCTCTGAAGCACTGCAGGTAGCTTTCAAACATTTGGTATGTTTTTTGCTCTGAGTCCACTAGATTGGAAAGCAAGGCTGCAAGCAAAAGATCCAAGGAGAAGGAAAGAAAGGGAGAGTGGTTGGGACTGCTTTGTGTGTCTCCGTGGAACAGTGCATGGTGTAATATAATT